CTTGTATTAGTAATTTCTAAATTTATTGTAGACTTGGTTTTTTTTTTTTTTGACAAAAGTACATCCTGCAACACATCTGGCGAGTTTGTTTCTGGATTAATGTCGTGGACATCCATAATCTTGTTGGGTGTCATCATAGGAACACAAGTTATCTAATTATTGCCCGCTGCTAAGAGTCGAAGGTGGCTGATAATGTTATCTCTGTATGCATATGTTTATGTCTCTGTTACCAAAATATTTCATGAAGCACCATACAAATTTTAATGAGATCACACATTAACTTTTAATGTCTGAAAATAAGATTGGCGCCACAGCAAACTTGCCTTAAAAACCCAGAAATAAAATTAAAATAGTCGGCTTTACAGGTATTGACCTAAAATTTGGTGTGACAGCGGCTAAGAATTATCCGAAATACATCCTGAGCGCTGACAAATTCCTCATGTTTTAGCTAATAACTAATTGGCACCAGATCTGTTACTAAAACATCTCATAAACCACTAAAGATATTTTAATAAAACTTTTAGGAAACAATCATTATATGTATTTTTGAAACAGATTGGGTTTAGGCAACCTAATTCAAGACAGCTGACACATTTAACTATAGAAAACACAAAAATAGCTTTAATTTGATCCTTTTTACAGATTTGGTTGTAGCTGAGTTTTTAATGAACTTCTCAGTAATAAGTAATAATTAGATGTACATCTACAACTGATTACTTTTGRAGTCAACCCAATCCAAGATGGCCAACACAGCTGAAAAGGATTTTATTTTATTGATGAAGGATTCTGTTATGTTGTATGTGTCTCCATTTTTACTGTAAATAGTGACATTTTCTCTCTCTTTTTGTTATCCAGAGGTAGGGAAGCTGTTACAAGTACAGAATGGGACACCTCCAGTGACCAACTACAAYGGGGTCGATGCTGTGCATGCCTGTAACATTCTTCAACAGCTCAAAGCTTTGTATGATGAAGCACAGCTAACAGACATTGTCGTAGAAGTGGACCATGGCAAGACCTTCTCATGTCACCGAAATGTCCTCGCAGCAATCAGCCCATACTTTAGGTACAAAGAGTTGGCTTTGCACAAGTGTTTTTTTTTTATAAATTTTTACAAGTTAGTTACCGGAAAGCTTTACTCAGTAGCAAGTTATGGCTGTTCAATACCAGATAATTTACATTTTTGTTCACATCTTTATTAGTTTACAGCGTGAGGGGATTCTTGTAATTGTATTTATGTTCTCTTATCTTCGCTACTAGGTCCATGTTCACCAGCGGCCTTACAGAGAGCAGTCAGCGTGAGGTCAGAATTGTTGGGGTGGAATCGGAATCCATGCATCTGGTTCTAGACTATGCTTACACGTCCAAAGTCACGCTCTGCGAGTCCAATGTCCAGGCCCTGTTCACGGCAGCCAGCATTTTCCAGATTCCTGCTCTGCAGGATCAGTGTGCCCAGTTCATGATCAGCCGGCTCGACCCACAGAACTGCATAGGCGTCTTCATGTTCGCAGATGCTTATGGGCATCAGGAGCTAAGGGAACGCTCACAGGATTACATTCGCAAAAAGGTCAGTTTAACATGGTCATCAAATTGAGTAAAAACCAAATATTTGTACTTCAGTTAATTATTATCATTGTTACTGTTTTATTAGACAATTTTAGACAGTGGCTGTGGTCTTATTGACCACTCATTCATTATTTAATGCACTATATATTGAGTCAGCCATTTTGTAGTAGTGTTCAAAGTTTTAACTATTTTTGTACACTAAAAACTCATCTCATGCTTCAGTAAATGTAGTGTACAGAAGTAAACTACATCAGTGGAAATGGTCTTAGACAACTCAGTGGGCTAATGTTAACCTCTACAGTTTATTATGGGGATTGCCTACTATAAAATGTCTTGTCTATTCTTCTGCTTTAGCTTGAGAATTAGAAAATATGTATACTGGAACTAGGGATGCAAACAATTGACTTGTGATTAATTGTTGAATAATGGTTTATTAGATTAAAATTTCTTTCTTTCGATTAATTGAAAACATCAAATTAAAACTGATTTCAGTGTAGTTTTGCCTTCATCCAGTAGAGGRCACAGCTGCTCTCAGCCTGTCCTGCTCTACCACAGCCCTGTTGAGCTAAGCAGAGAGCCGCCTTGATGTGGGCAGCGTCGTAATTACACGTGCAAATCTATAGTTTTATTTGTGACACAACAATAATAATGGACTGGACTAAACTCAAAGGAAAAGTACCAAAGGCTTTACCGGGCTATCCAACAGTATGACGCTAAAGACGAGAGAGAGAGCAGGACGACAGAACAGTAAGCTTACGTTAGCTTCTTCTTGTAGAGTTTAACTCGGTGTGAAAGAACAAAACAAAACAAAATTTAGTCACTACAAATGATTAACGTGAAGTTAATCTCATCTGTGTGACATAATCCGTCCAGTGAACAAATCAAATGAACAGTACCTGACGTCAAATCAGCCCTGCCTGGATAAAACCACAGGGAACGTAAACAAACACAGTTCCAGTTTTCGTTGGTATCTCACCACTCTCAGGRATATTTTATTATGTCTGTAATTTGTTTTGAGTAAATCTTTAGATTAAAAAGTTCAAGTTCAGTTTATTTATATAGCGCCAAGTCACAACATACGTTGTCTTTGGGCACTGTACATAAAAAGAACCATTTAAAGA